CCAAGCCAGCCAGCCAAAACACCGTGAATTCCTTAGGGAGGTGCCAGCCTCATCTTCTTAAACTTCCCACGCTCCTGTTGGGGGCTAAGGAAACGCTTATCTCCCCGAGCGCGGCCTTCATAACACCATTCCATCACACAAGGAGATGAGTTTCTCTCCTACTACATCGTTTTGCAAAGCCGCTCCAGAGAGAGAGAGAGAGAAGGGTGCAGAGTCTATCGGAGTGGGTAGCTATTTATTTATTTATTAAATTTCTCCCCGCCCATCTCCCCGCAATGGGGGACTCTGAGCGGCTCACACAAAGCATTAAAACCATAAATACATATAAATACGTAAGACATAAAAACTTAAACAAACGTTCCTAAAAAGAAGAAGAGAGTCCAAGAAGTAGCTATAGTAAATTCAAGCTATAATAACAAGATAACAACGACATTCAATTGCACTGGTCACCCTGGCCTTTTTGCCCACAGCAGCTGACTCTTCAAAGCCCAAGGATTTGTCTGATAACCGCTATGCGGTCGGTGTTCAAGCAACAGGAGACATATTTGGGGGGCATTATCAGCTTGTGGTTTACTCATTTTAAGGCAAAATTAAATGGCCCGTTGGCCACTGGCCGCATGTGGGCTTTGGAAGCAAAGGTCTGGCCAACCTCCACCCACCTCATATCAGTTTTATCCCCGCATTGCCAGAATCTCAAACTGCCCAAATCAGTTACCTTTTGATCTGGCAGGTGCTTCAACCTTTTTGGCAGTGGGAGTTGCAGGATATTCATCTGAAACAGAAAGGAGAGGGGCAGTTGTATTAGTTGGCACACTTTGCCTTCCTCCCCCCCTCCCCCGGACCAAGTTACAGGTTCTCCACTTGTTCACAAATCCTTCAAAACGGAGGCTACCCCGTCTTCAAACCAGCTCAGGGGTCACCTGCAGGGCAAAAATCTTTGCTCTCCCTTGGTCCACAGAAAAGTTAAGCTTTGCCTACACCTTCACTGGAAGTCTCCTCTGCCCTGGTTCAATGGGAAGAGGCACGCAAGCTCCCACCGGCTGCTAAACTGGGGCCTGAGACCTCAGCCCCACTGTCGCTAAGGTCCCTCTGCCAAGCCAAAGCGTCCTATGGGTCCCCTCCCGCTTTGGGTCCCCGTCTTATCCTGCTCCCGAAGACCTCGAGGAAGGGAGTTCCTCCTTCCAGTGTGGGAGAGGGCCCCTTTCCCCTCACCCAAGGGCCCCTCCTCCCCAGTCCAACTGTGCCCCCCACCCCAAGTGCTGGATTTGCCACCTTGTGGAACTGGCCGCACTGCACCAAAGTGGAGTTCCAAATATACTGGCCATCTCCAAGCACGCTGGCCTCAAATTCAGGCTCCGTCAGGTAGCCAGAGGCTTCCTTTTCCTGAGGGAGAAAGGAAAAAATGCAGGGGGGTTCACGGAGAGCCGAGAGCCCATCCGCTAGAGAACCTCGAACGATCGACGGCCTGTGAATCCTGCCAGACCCCCAGCCCTGAGGAGAGAGCTTCTTTCCCGGCAAGCCCCGGGGGTGGGGGGTTTCCAGGCCTCCCCGCCCCCGCCCCCAAATCCACCCTGCAAACCAAGGGGAGATCGGCCGCTCACGTTGATGTAAATCTCATGGTGACAGCGAGAGCTGCGGAGGTACCAGGTCACGTTCAGCAGCCCTTCCCAACCATTACAGCTTTCGTGGGGAACTGCCAAAAAAAACCCCCGTTAAGTGAGATCTCTGGGCATTGAAATGTAGGACTTCCTACCTTTGTGAATTAAACCCCGTCAAGCTTCGATCTCTCCCCTCCAATATGGGGTCTTCCAAACGTATTTATTTCCCACCTTTCCCTTTCCTCCAGGAGCCCAAGGTGACACACACAGCACACCTTCTCGGCGCAATATTTCAGCACAACAGCCCTGTGAGGTGGGCTGGGCTGAAAGACTCATTTGCTGTGAAGTAGGCTGGGCAGGGGGTTGTACAGGGTTACCTTCAGTGCCCCTTTCAACCCTTACATTTTATGATTCAAAATCCCGGCTGAAAACCACCACTTTCCCACTGAACTTTGAGGGACTCAGGGAGCTGCACAAATGCATGTGGGAGGCCAGATGCAACCTACAGCTAGTGCAAATCTTGATTTAACAATCCACCCTGCAGGAGCCCCAGCACTTACATTTGAGGATAATGAAAGTCCCTTTAAACATCGTCTTGGAGAAGACAAACAACTTCTCTGTCTGGTTCTGAAAAACAAGAAAAGGGTGTCACGCTACCGAAGGGCGTGAGTGTGGATCTATCCCTTCCCTAAGTTCAGTCCAGGCTACCATGGAAGAATTTTCTGTCTCGTGATGTAACCGGACGTTTGCTCTGGCCAAAGCAATTTCCAGTGGGACATGTTCATCGGGAGACTCCTTCGGGGAAGAAACAGCCGTGGAGGAGAGAGGGAAAGATGTGGTGGGTCTCGGGTCCCCCACGCCAAGAAAGCATCGAGTAGCGCAAGAATACACCCTCGGAGATTTCTTACTCCCGAGCACTTTGGGCATTATTCTTAGCCTCTTCGGCTGCTTTACAGGCTGATCTTGCACCAGGGCCTATTCGTTTATTTATTTATTCAACTTTTTTTTTCCTGCTGCAATCAAGGGACTTGTGGAGGTTACAATCTGAACAATAAAAATGTCCCATTATAGAGGCGTGCTGCAAAGATCATCAAACGAAAACCTACTTAAACCGCCACAGGGACGGATCCGTGCTTCCTGGTAAGGTATAATGCTTCACAGTGCTCGGGGGGGGGGGGGCCCAGACCCCTCTCTGGACTTTTCCTGGGAACGGCTGGCCGGGGGGGGGGGGGGGCACAGGCCCTTCACTGGCTTTGTCCTGTGAACTGCTAGCTGGCGGGTGGGGAAAGCACCCACAGACTGTGCTTTTTCTGCTAAGGACCACACGTTGTTTCTCGCCAGCCGAGCCAAAGGAAAAGGAGGGCAAACGTTTACCATGATGGTTTAGATGCAAAGGTGAAGGACCGAATGCAAATACTTTTTACCGTGGCAGTGAGTGAGTGTGCGCTGGTAAGTGTCTCAGTTCTGATGAGGAAATAAAGAAACAGGTTTCCTGCACTTCCTTCTTTTTCAAATTCAAAGATGACTTCAGCATTTACAATCAGGTGAAATATGTCTCCCTCCTCTTCCTTGGGCAACTGGTTTTACAGTGCTTCTTATCTTCTCGAGCAGGGTTTCCCAACCTGGGCACCTCTTGTGGGCTCGAACTCCCGGAGTTCTTACTAACGGCCCTGGTGGCTGGGGAACGGTGGCCGTGGAAGTCCCCGCGTCTTAAAGCTGCCCAGGTTGGGAGACCCTGCTCAAGAGATGCGCTCCAAAGGGAGCCATAAGATGTAGAAACAGCCACTGGGAAAACGGTCCAAAGGAGAGACTTTGGGCGACCCTCTTTCGCCCCAGGACGGATTCCTCCTGCTGCCACAGGACAGCCCTTCCTTCACCACCGAGAAGAGGCCAGCCTCATCTCTGGCGCCACGCGCCAAACAACACCCAGCAGAGGACTTGGAGTCAACCTGCTGCACACACAACCCTCGGCTGGTTTTGCTGGCGCAAAGGAGACGCAACCGTTCTCTCTCCTTCCCGGAGCCGGAAAGCAACCTTGTCCTGCCCGGCTGACGCGCAGATGCTGCTTCCCAGCCCCTGGGAGGGACGGTCCCGGGCCCTTGTTCCCGGCTCGGCGGGGAACTCAGAGGGACCGCCGCGGCGCCCGAAGGGTCTCCTGAGCCAGGCTGCCGGAGAGCTTCCGCCTGAGCCCG